GGGGGGGGTGCTTTGCAGCAGGGAGCTGCATGTCTGGAGCCAGTGGCACGGGGCAGTGCACATGCATGCAGGGGCCTGGACTCATTGCTCACAGTCTGGCCCAAGCAGGATGGAGGCAGCTGGGGACCCACTCTGGCAGGGCTTGGAGGGGGGAAGGGGACTGCGGATCGGGAGTGAAGGCACCAGCATGGGAGAGGGGGGCAGGAGACTGTGGGCTGGGCACAGAGAGGGCCAAGGGGTGTGGGTCAGGACAAGCCAATCTTGGCAAATGGGTCCCGGTACAAAAAAGGTTCAGAACCAGTGTACTAAGCCACAGCAAAGCCAACTGCTAGCGCTGAAGTGGCTCATAAGATCTTAAAAGCAATAAATGCTCTGACAAGCTGTATTGAATAAAATGGCTGGCTAAGCAGCTATGGATGAGAATTACAACAGATATTGCTAGTTTATTGCTAACAAATCTCACAAGGCAGGAACATAAGGGAAAATATCATCCAGTAAATAAACAAAGTTTTCCTATTACTAAAATCATTAAAAATAATTCAAGAGCACAACTGCTTCTGCAGGGAGGTAGGACAAAACAGATGAAACAAACCAAAATATAATAATGGAATTATATTCTGCTTTACAATAATTTATAAACTGGGTGATGACTACTTGAACTTTTAAATACAGAAGGTCAATATGGGAACAACGGGTAATCCAGAAGAGTGAAAGAAAATAGCAGTAGCAAGGGAGTAGCCTGATAAAGAAAAGTGACTAGATAGAGCATCTGTTTCAGTGCCTGAAAACGTCAATATGTGATTTTTTTTGTGGTCTGATAGGCCAAAGTACTATTTTTTCATATGCAAAAAGCAGAAATGGGGCTAAGTAAAGCACACACACAGACATTCAGTAGGGGTACACTTACATGTTACAAAAAGTGAACTAGATGATCTGCTAGATTATTTCCACCGTTAACTATTTTCATCAAAACCAAAAAAATATGTACAACTATGTTATACAGAACTTTACAGAACTTTTTAAATAAAAAAACCAGTGCATTAAATTGTAAAAGAAATACATCCCCAAAACAAGACATCCATTGTTCCCTATAAGACACCAGGAGAATTTCAAAGGGTAGCCAAATTAAACTCTGCCACTAAATGAACTCTTCCCTTCTTTGAGACCCAATATTACATGTCAAATTTGGGTAAATTTACATGTTGCAAGTTATTTTTTGGCTCCTGTGCATGAAGGACTTCAGATGCAAAGCACCATTACATTCTTACATACACGTCATGCACTTTGCTTATTAAGGTTCTTCTACATGAAGAAATGGAACAATCAAAATGCACAAGTTATGTAAAATGTAGACCTTTCTTAATGCATCTAAAATTTAAAAAAGTAATTTTCTATTTACCTTTTAGAAGCGATACTTTAGCAATAGGTTCATTTAGCTCTTGTTCATCCATCTGGGCATCTAAAAGAAAAGACGTTACGACATTACATTGCAGTGGGAAGACTGAAGTCAAGGTCTGTAATCAGATTCTACAAACAGATCAGAGGAACTTTCACTGTTCCTTCTGCCCCTTAAAATTAGCTCCAGGGCAGCAAGATGCAAAATCAAATAATGTTCTCTACTTAAAAGATGCAGTTGGTTCAATTTAATAAATTCTTAATAAGCTGAATGCTAGATGGAAAGAGAACACTTGAGAGCAATGCAATCTTGCAGAAATTTATATCGAACACTTACCTGTAGTGTCGTCACTGCTTTTCTCCTTGCTTGGGCTGAGCGTGTCTGACAAATCAGATTCTTTTGCTTTTGCTTGGTTTTCTGTAAGAAACAAGAGGACGCTCAACTAAAATTCACCTATGTTCCATACAACTACCCCCACCCCCACTATAAATTCTAGCTCTGCTGTTTCATCTTAGTTGTGAGTACAGAACTTCAGAAGACTGGTACATTTGTTCTTTAAAAGGAGCCAAAGTTTTCCTTAGGTCTTTTACAGTCCTCCAAAGCTGACTGAATAACCATAGGGTCACATCTCAAATGTTAGTCTGTCATGGGACATAGCAGTCTCACGCATAGCCAGAGCTTTTGTTTAAAGCTGTAATCCTGCCAGTTGGAACCCAGTGTAAAAGCCGATTGTTTTATTCCGTCATTCAGGGAACAAATCAGGAAAAAAAAATAGAACAACCTTTCTGGAACAATACAGATATTGTAGTATGCAGGAAAGAAACAGCTATTAAGAACAAAACCCTATTTTGCAGCATTTTGGACAAGTAAAGTAACAGGTGCTTGTATACATTGTAATGGAATAAGAATAGGAAATGAACCATAAATAAAGAATCTGTAACTTGATCAACATAAACATTAATAACTATAAGTCATTTTAAGTTTTTGTTATATTACTAGGAAATGAACTACATCCCTTCCACTAAAGCACCTCTGAAGGGCTTGTGAAACAGCCTTCCCATACTTTGTTCATAATATATTAACATGACACATACCACGGCCACAGAAAATAATATTTTGGTTAGGTCAAGGGGCCTCATGAGGAGAACAGTGAGAAGGAAAGGGGGCTTAATTATACAAATTCATCCTCTTGCCCATGCACCTGTCTTCTTGACTCAAAGAGGCTCAAGATTCATTTTTATATGCCTCCTTAATTTTATTTCCAAACTTCAGGGTAGCTCAGATGGATGCACACCTCATTAAACAGACACAGCAGGTCTGGACCAAAAAACATTAAGTATGTGTCAGTTATGAATTATGCCCTTAACAGCGAGACTTGAGGTTATATATAATGAATTTTTGGCTGATTACACTCTGCCTTGTTTGGCTGCCTACCCCAAATTAGTGGACACTTCTTCTGAGGGATAACTGTTACGTAATGAAGGATTTAAACAGAGCTATTATAATGTTACCAGCAAACAATCTTTTCTTCCCTACAAGAATGCATTTCTTCACCTACTAATACAGTACATGCAAACAAGGGATCTGGACAGAAAGAGGGAAGGAGACCATGCAATTATAGACAAACGGATGCATGGAAAATTCATTAGGATTGGCAGGCTGAATCGTGTGAAAAAAAACAACCCCAAAACAATTCAGCATTGTGAGCTTACCATTTTATGCCAGAAAACAACCTGAAAGAACCGACAAAGAGAAAGAAACCAAAGCACAAGCAGCAAACCTTGACAAGCAGACTAGACCCAGACAAGGTAATAATGGAAAAAAAACTTTTTCCCTTTCCTCCAGGACAAAGAAAATAAAACTGTACATGCTTGCTGCCCCAGAATACCCAGGTAGGTGTGAAACAGAGGAGACTAAAAACAAGCCAGCAAGGTGTCTCATTCTGGCAGATTTACATATGTCTGTTAACAAAGGTTGCACAACGATCCACATAGGGGAAGGGCAGACTGGTGAGCAGAGCACAAGACTAGGGGTTTAGGAGACCCGACACTCCTGGCTCTAATTTAAACTTCATAATTCACTACTGACAAATTGCTTAAGCTCTAATTTGTTTGCCTGGAAAATAGGAACAGTACTTTCTCTCTCTCTCAGGGGTAAAACATTTAATGTTTTTAAAGTATTTTCTGATATTTGGACAAAGGCATATTACACTATTGAATACTTATAATCCAGCCATAAAGCTAAGCAAAGCAATATAATTTTCCTTAAAGACTAGCCACTAGAGTAGTAGAGTCAAAACTAGCTGTAAAAAGCCATGCACATGAGTTATGTCAGAAGTCATTTGAGAAACATTAATATGAACAATTCTGGCATCTGGTTTATTCAGATTTCCCCGTGGCCATATATGGAAATGTAATTTCTTACTCAGTACAAAATGGGAGGCAAGATGCTAATTCCAAACCTGGACTCTGTACCGTGCCCCCCCCACCAATGCCCTCCTTCATAACTCTGAATCCTTGAACAGGGTTGGACTTTACTGGATCTTACCAAAATCATGTGCCAGTTCTAAATCTGAAACGGCAGAGTGCAAAGGCTTAAATGGCTCAGTGGGTCCAAGAAAAAAGTAGGATTCAACAAAATACAAGGGACTTTGGTGACAATCTCATTGAGAACTGCTTTGCACTGATGCCCTAGTGGGTTTATCTGTGACACAAGACTGCTAAACTGAAACACACTACCACTGCTTTGCCCATGGTAGCCTCCAAAGCAGAAGTAGTGTAACTGTATGCTGTTAGTGCAGAGCTACACATCACAGTCAGTAGATTTTTATGTGGAGGACTTTTTGATTGTCCTTGGTTAAGCAGTTACAATCAATACTGAAAACAATAGAACCATTTACAGGTCAGGATTGAGGAGCACTAGCAAAATTATGGGGGGAAAATTCACCAGTTACTCTGGGTTTACACAATTAAACATATTTCAGAGTCTAGCTAAGTGAATATTACTTAGTATATCAGTAATTTAACTATACTCACCTTTTCAACATTTGCAAGAGTAGCATTTTAATAAAAATATTCATTTTTATGTAGCACTCTAGTGGCACATTTTCCTCAACTTTCAATACAGTTTAAAATGATAAATTTTTTTGAAATTGTTGACATGACACTTATTAGATGAGATGGAATGCACTGACATCAATACTAAAAATAACTCACCATTTTGCAAGATAATTGGCATGCAAGTGTGAAGTTACAGTTGTGTTTATTGTATGCATTCTTTTGCCAAATAAGGCAAGTTGTCAGTAGTTTATACAAGCTCAGAAACAAGCTAAAATGTAACTGCACAAAGATAACAGAAAAGAAATCTAGATTTTAACTAATAGGGTTTAAAGAACAAATGCTGGACCCTAAAATGACCAAAATTTGTTTTAAAAATAAACAATCAGTGATGAGTAAAGGACGGAGAAGTTAAAAGAAATTATCCTATATTGAACCATATCTATGAAAAGCATTAAAAAACATTAAGTAATGAGTGTCAGCTATCAACTTACCTCCACAAAATAATCAATAGCTAACAGTTAACAAAACATAGAACTATCATATTAGTTATACACATTTGTAGCAGTCTTGATTTTGACTTTGCAACTTAGGACTGATAAATACTTAGGGATCTAAGTTGTACATATGCATTTGAGTGCTTTTTCAAAGAAAAACAGTTTGTTAATGTTCTGTTTCTTAAGGGAAGCAAGCACCTTCATATGTTCTTGTCTTTAGAAGCAGGTTTATAAGGGTGGATATCAATTTAACACCATGTTACTTAAATTACTAACAAGTTAAAGCACACACTTCACTTTTCCTCCTAACTGTTAAGACCAGACAATGTTTCCTGGTTTTCATTACAGTGAACAATCCCAGTTTGTGAGAGGCTATCCAAGCTTATTAAAAAACACCCCCAGCCTTTAAAAGACAAAAAAACCCCAAAACAAAAAACTTTGAATAAGAAAAATCAGTCAAGACTAGTCTTTCATGCATCCCTACTCATCGATAATAATTTCATCCAGACATTTTGCTAAACTAATCCATGAAGTGGAGTTTCAGTGGATACAAATATTCAGCCCCTTTAGGGTCTTTTAAAAAAAGACTAATTCAAATATTTAATAAACCAACAATAGTAAATATTTAAATCAGAAACTGTGACAAAGCATCATTCATAATATGTAAAGCACATTTTAAAAAAATCAGAGTTATATAATCGAGAAGTCTAACCTTTTAATAGCTTGGCTTCTTCCACTTTGGTTAGATGTCCCTCGTCTATGAGCTTGTCTGCCAAACAAAACAAGTGTTACTATCCCAGCTCAAGTTAAGCATTTCCCTGTACGTGTCTACACAGTCTACATTCCATGACCAAATTAAAAGCTGATAATATTACTCTATGACCATGCTTGAACAAAAACTTTAGTCTGGCATAGAAAGAAAAGCAGATTATCAAAAAAGTCTGCTGTAACGTAAAGCATAATGAACAAAGCAGAATTTATATTAAACCTTTGCTCTACAATTTACTGAATAACTTCCACAGTCAAATTCTTCAGTCCTCCAGGAAATTAATGAAGGACTAATTTTATTTTAAATAGGTTAGGCAGAACTTCTTAGAAAAGCTATTTTATAAAAAAAACCAGAGGTTTAAGAATTTACTTCCACCATCGACTTACATGCCTGGTACTGTGACAATCTAGAAACAAATTGCAGATGGTGTCAACAGGCAGGGAGAATCTAAAAAAGACCTCTATATCTTAATATGTCTAATGACAGTTGCCAAACAAGACTGTTTTGGTGCTAACTAAACATACTTTTGTGAACTGCCCAATTTAGATGTGGGGAAACTCCTTATCTGTATGCAGTGGTTAAGGGATGGAGTTTACTTGTCTACATCACATGCTAGCAAATGTGCATGAACACTTAAGGAATTGGAAAGTTTGCTGCTCAATTACAGCCACCCCATAGAGCACATGGAGGCAAAAAATAAGGACACATGGAGACTAAGTATGAATTTATGAAGGAAGGAATTGTTAGAACTGTTCAACTAGTAACTACCTGGTAACTTCATGAAAGGTGCTTCCACAAAGGTCCTTCAAACTTAAAAAACATCTAGTGGTTCCAACTCTCAGAACTGCCATGTGTCTTGCATCTTACAAGTCTCTCTCTTATCATCCATGTTTGGCATCTGGCTATGTTTTAAACAGGGATCAGGGAATATTCCCCTGCAATTTCTCTTATTGGCTGAGAAGAGCTATGGTGGCAACCGGTTTCAGGCTGCCTCTTTTTGTCTGCTTCCTGTGCCCCTGCCCTGCTGGATTCTAGCAGAGAAGCAAGAGCTTTAAACAGAATGACAAAGCAACTGGATGTTTAGCCTCATGTCCTACTTGTGGAGAAGCAACAGGGTGCGATAGGAGTACCTCAGAGGTAATGAAAAGGGATAGAAGGCTCAAAACTGAGAGCTCATACTGGAAAAGGACAAGAGACGTGGGGTACAGGATTATGTGATGGGAAAACAAAAGACAAATGGTGAAGTACAGATTGGGAGACACTCAGCTGTATAGAGATTTAAAAGATACATAATGACATTGAAGGAATAAGCATAAAATCAAAGCAATGTTACAACTTTAAAACTCTACTACAGAAAGTTTACTTAGTCAATCATCTTCCCTTACGACTCAACAGAAGAATATGCACAAGTAATTTTCATGAAGAATTTCAGGCTTTAAATGATCATTACACCATTTTCTTAAATTTTATATCATTATTGCCATCTTATATAGACTTAGGAGACTTCCAAACATATAACATGTGGTTTGTCATGACTAAAGACATCTCTCTCACCTCAATACTAGTTTACAGTGATGTGCCATCATCTCTTGTACTAGGCTACCTAGATGTATGTCAAGTCATGTCCTCTTTTATTCTAGCTTGCAGTCAAGGCACTCTCACTTGAGATCTTCAAAAACTGAAGGGGAGCAACATTTGGCCTGCACTCCCCTCTCTGTCTACTTAAGTTCATCTGTGAGGTGTCCACACTAGTGATATCATCCATGCAATGAATAAAAAATTATCAAAGCAAGAGATTCTTGATATTTTCTTGTTGAAAGGCACCATCACAAGTCTGACAAAACCATATCAAGATAGAACGAGTATGGAGAAACTAAAGATGAGCTAGGAGAAAGTGAGAAACTGGGGGAACATAACTCACAGAAAGTGGACCTGTCACCAAAAAACACAAAGCAAGCGGGGGGGGAGGTGGGAGTATTACTTAAATTTCTGTGCAAAAACCCCTTTGAGAATTCATCTACTAACAGGCTGCATGCACCAATAGATCCATGTAAATCCGGCCTAAAATTGCTCAAAACAGCACGAATAAAGCAGATGGCAGCATGGCAGAACTTGCCCACAGTGGCTCCTGTATGCTGTGCTCTAGACATGATATTGGAAGACAGTGAAATTAAAGCCTCCCGGGCAAGGGAGATCTGAAAGGAAGTAGATGCGTTGGAAATGGATGCTTATCCACTGGAAGCAATGTAGCCACAACTGTGCAGACAGACCAATTAGCTTGGGGACAGCTATTTGGCTTGGAGACCAATTAGCTTGAGGGATTAATAAAAGAATTCCTCAATTCTCTCTCAAGCAATTCCTCTGAAGCAAACTTGAGAGTGTTGCTGCTGCACAGTTTATGGTGAGACACAGCCAAAGACAACAGCTTGAAGAAAATGGCTTTGCCTCCTTGGATTTCTATAAACTACTGGACTGTCATGCTGGAAGCATACAGTGTAGAAAATGTAAATGACTATAAATAGTACATTACATTCCTACTGAGCTGGTCACAAAGGAATACAACCTCCAGAAGTAGATCTTAGGGCTTTGAACATTTACATGAGACGGACAAAGGCTGTAGATCTCCAGAGTCCAGCTTGAAGATCATGAAGAGGATCTTGGGAGAATCACACATTTACACACCATCTTCTCAAAAGGAAAATGAACAAAACCAATTTCTTCCTACTCTGCTCCCAATCATCCTACAGGAAAAAATGGAACCCTACACAGAATCTTCCAAAGGAATCTGCCTTTCTGGAGTAAATATCTAAGATCTGTTCTACTGGGGATACCCAACTAACTCCCTCCTGAGCTATTCTACAAAGAAAGGCAAAACAGAACACCAGTCAGGATCCAGGCTAACCCACTCCTTTCGCAAGCAACCCCTTTTTTTGACAGGGAGTGTGAAAGAACAATGAGGTTGTTTCTATTCCTAGAGCTGCAGAGGTGCCTTGAAACTGAGAAAAAGGCTAGAAAGCTTGCTCCCCAAGTGCTATGGTTGTGTTTAGCAAATTTTTTGGAGAAGCCTTCAAAAAGAACCTTTGTAGATAAGAGTACAGAAGCAGAAAAGATGTTACCTAACAAGGTTATGAATTTCCTTTAAAAAGAGACAACTAGAAGACAGCAGAGAGACTACCTAATGTCACAAGTGCATCAACTTGTGATGTGCAGTTTGAGTCTCTGAACTCCTGGAAGAATCGTTCTTGGGTTCTGGTCTCGAGAGTCGGCAGGGGCTTCTAAAGCACAATACAATAACCAAGGTCAGAGCTGGTTCTACCCCTCTTTCAGGCCTGAATATAGAAACTGTCATTGAGTAGGCAGATGGGTGGAGCAGATCCTTAAGGCTGCAGGAAAAAAAATCTACAGGAGAGACGCTATCAGCCTTTCATTCTGGATTGTGTGTGGTGGGTCTTTTGCTGTTGTTGAGAGGAGAGTCCATTTGTCCCTCCCTGATAGATGCCATTCCAAAACTCTACTGAGGTTTGGGATAAAGGCAGCATATTTCAGTCATATACCAGCTGCAGCTGCTCCCAGGGAAGGGTGCGAGCAACTGGGGAAATCTGCCTGCATGCTTGGAGAAGGAGCAGGAAATAAGAATGTCATACTCAGATTAGCTACCACCTGCCTGATATAAAGACAAAAATGACTCATCCATTCCAGTGGCAGCCAATGCCATGAAGCAATTACTCAGGATAAGCTTGTAGCCTGGCTCTGACAACAAATCGATGATTTTGGAACCTCTACAATTCCCTGTATGGTAAAAATTGAAAGCCATCTAGAGAGAAATGAGTCTTTTTTGACCTGTCTCTCCTCTTCCTGGAAAAAAAAACAAAACTTATTTCAACAGTCTCTCTTTTTTATTATTTATTGCAATTAACATTAAGGTTAAAAAACATGCTTAGTCCACCATAATGGTTCATTGTGTTTTAGTCTGTGTGGACAAAATATTTTAACATGCACGTCATGAACTATAGCTCAATTTTATTTTATTTTTAACTGACGAAGCAGTGGCAAATAGAAGCAACCTCATTCAAACACAAGTGAAACAATTCAAAGCTGTTACTGGTAACATTATCTACTTTTAGTGACTGAGGTCCTCCTGTGCTATACCATAATTTAACAGCAGTAAGCACTCTGAGAGCTAAAAACATGTAAATCCATGCAAAGTGCAATGAAGCATTATTGTATTTCAAAACAAACAAGAAACAGTTTGCTTGAATTCATCCATTTTTATAAATGAACAGGAACAGATTATCACCCTCTGAATTAAGCATAAGATTACTCTGTAATTTTGTAGCGAGTTATAACCCAACATGACTAAGGGTAACAGAACCTGGATCACATTCAGGGAATATTAAGTGACATTTAATACAAGTTGCTGTTAGCATCTTGTGACCACTTTATTTTAGAGAGGGACTTACGGGGCAAACCAGACACACAGTTTACTAAATATATGCATTTCTATTATCGGAATAGAAAAGCAAGCAAAGATTCAGCTTTAATTTTTCATGAAAGTACAAGTAGTTTTTAACTACTGTATTAACCAGTGACTGTCCAATGAGAAGGCAAGACACACCAGTACAGCAAACTAGCTTACTGTAACAAATTATTTACTTGAAGAACAGATTTTTCGGTTCATCTTTAAAGACAGGCTTGTGTTGGTACATTTTTATTTATGTCAAGTGAAGACGACCTGGAGTGTTTTTTTTCCCCCCTCCCCTTTTTTCCTTTTAATGAAGTAGTCTACTTTTTTCTAACTAAGAATTACCCTTTGTCTTTGTTTGGACCAGGGTTGGGTAATTATTTCAGCTGGAGGGCCACTTAATGAGTGGTGGTGAGCTGTCAAGGGCCACACACAAAATCTTTCATGAGATATCATTTAATATATTAGAGATTAAAAACAAATCATATACTAAAAACATCAAACATCTACTATACTTTTATCATTAATTTATACTCTT